TGCACTTTTTAGAAGCGACGGAATGGAATGTACTCATCGCATAGTTCACAGCAATCGACGACTCCATATTGTAGAGCATTGGATAATTGGAAGTGATTTGCATATTTTTATGCAATAAAATAATCAAAGGATGTAATGGAACCCAACATTATGACTGTTCTTGATAGAAATACCTCTAGCGGTTGAGATTTCATGAATTAAATGATGTAAGTAGTCTTAAATGTCTCTAGTGTAAATTGATGAAAGCAGTCTAAAATGTCTCTGGTGTAAATTTTTTGTTAGAGGGAAAGGAAATTAGTTGCATGCTCCTAATCACTGATAAATCATGTCCGGCTCTGTTTAGAAACTGCGTAATGTAGCGTCATTCCCTTCATCTGCCAAATTTCGGAGGAACTCCGGTAAAACCGAAATCATTTATTTCCGTTTTACTAGTAGACGAGGCTCGATTTGTCCATTTTAAGGTTTACACAAAGCATATCATGAGAGCCTGTTCGCAAAACACTCGGATTATCTGCTGAATTATGGAACATATTCCATGCTGTTGCATTTGTTATGCTAAGGGGGATCACCTTCGTTATTAAATGTCTCCTGTGTACTATTTAGATTTTGCGCGTAACCATCCAAAGTAGGTGGTAAGAAGGATTCTTAGGGGAATTTAATTTTTGCGGCAAGATGTTTTTCCAATTTGGCTTACGAAAACCCCAGCTCAAACTTCGGTGCTCAAGTTTGCATTTCAACGGGATGATGTAACTAGCATATGTTGCGACCCTCTCTCATTCAAGTTGCACCAAATACATTTAATGCTTGAGGCGCAGGAATAGCCAAAGAAGATTCAGTTTTCAACATCCACTGCTCAATCTAAAACTCACATTTCAAATATCCAACACTCGCTGACATAAAGGGTAATATAGTGTTTCCTGTGTCCCAAATCACCACCAAGTGGACTGTGCGATTCCAACTGTTCAAATTACCAACTGCACCCACTCGATCCCACCTCTCCTCCCTGTACATTTTACATCTTTTAGTTTCTGACTAGATTTTTGCAATACGGCGTTTGAGGTGGTTCAATTACCGCAAATAGCCAGGTGGATTGATTAAGGAGCCGACGCATGGCTAGGAAGAATTGCCGTGTTGAAGGGATCCACCTTCAGCTTGGGCTGTACCTACAGTGATTCACTAAATTCATGGCATCAAATTATTTACACATTTTCCTTTTAATGACATGCCTGTTTCTAACTAAATTGTACTGTAAAAGTACACATCTAATTTCAATGGCGGCGCTTATTTCACCAAATTCTAGTGATTTGGGTCATGATTTGCCTACATCTATCCTGAGGTTTTCAACA